ATCTAGCCAATCCATCCTTGAATCCACAAGTTTATCCAATGGGAAGCTTTCTGACCGCTTGATGACATCAATTACAGCCCATTTGTTCTAACCGTGGTGGCAGTTAGCAAGGCATTTTGAGATGGATTTGTGGACTTGTCTTTCAGGCATATCCACTTGTACTGTTTGAGATTGAGACTTTCATAATTACAAAAATGTTGGAGCTGGGATTCTTTTCTATTTGTTTTTTGAGACATTGTCTCCCTCTGTAGCTTAGCCTGGCCTTGGAGCAGTCTCCCTACCTCAGCCTCTAGATCAGTGGTCCTCAACCTTCATAATGCTGTGACCCTTTGATACAATTCCTCGTGTTGTGGTGACCCCTAACCCTAAAATTATTTTCGTTACTTTCATAGGTGTAATTTTGCTACTTTTGTTATGTATGTTTTGTTAATTTTGTTCTCAATCATAATGTAAATATATGTGACCGCTGTGAAAAGGTTGCTTGACCTCCAAAGAGGCTGTGACCCACGGACTGAGGACCACTGCTCTCGAGTGTTGGAATTACACTCCTGTTCCACTGTAGCTTTCTGCTAAGTTCTTTTTTTAAAATTTTTATTTGATCCTTTTATGACAACTAGGACAACAAAGCATGCGTACAATGAGGCTAGACTGAAAATAAGAGGCATCTAAGATGTAAAGTTTGGATAGAACACTGTGTCCACCCCTACCCCGACCTCCCCCAGCCCACAAGCTCTAACCCTACCCTGGATGACAATATTTGGAAGAAAATTTTGTTCAGATGAGATAGGCTGCCATCTGGAAGCCAGGTGGGTGGGCCCTTACCAGAAGCCAATTACCAGCATCTAGTCGAGATCCAAATCTTTGAATTCTCTGAAACAGAAGATTATTCCTTGTTATCAAGTCACCCAGTTAGGGCGTTTTAAGACAGTCATCAAACTGTTATGTGGAGGACCAGCCCCTTACTGGATGGAGGCTGACTGGAGGTAGGTGGCCAGGCATTACCATAGACACTCAAAATAGTTAGCTGGTTACATCTTATGCATACATAGACAGGAGGTCTAGAGAAGGGTCATTGACTTAGCAATGTAGGAACGGCTGGTGTTACAGGACATGATGTCACCCGGGGGAGCACAGATGTGACATCTTGTGAGAGCAGTGCAGGAGCAGACGCATAGCCCCGCAGAGGGTACCTGGGAGACTGGAGGTAGGACCAGGTTGGCCCCACAGCTAGCTCAGAGCCACATTAGGAAGCAATATAGGAATGTTGGTGTCCCAGAGTGAGAAAGTGCTGCCTCTTACAGCAGGCTCTTTAACCCTTTGTCTGCCTGCTACAGTCCATCCACCTCTTTTAGCAATTGAGGGCTTCAGTGGGTGGGCAGTTATCCAGGATTGAGGGAATCGTGACATTTAAAAGATGGCTGAAGAGGAAGAGGATTAGTGTGTAATTGGTTTGTCTCCAAAGGGATCCAATTTAGACATTTATAGGCAAAGAATGTTGACCTTAAAATGTTTCTGGGGCCCAGGATACAAATAATAGCTAGTTTGAATTCTAAAAAACCCTTAACTATTATTTTTTTTTTTAAGTTTACTGATTCATTTTTATACTTACTTATTAGGGGCATGCATTGTGCAGCGCTGCGCGCGCGCGCGCGTGCGTGCGTGTGTGTGTGTGTGTGTGTGTGTGTGTGTGTGTGTATCAAGACAACTTGAAGGAGTTAGTTTTTGCCTTCTACCACATAGGGTTTGGGGATTGGACTCAGGATCCTTTACTCACCGAGCCATCTTGCTGGCCCCTATTTTTATTTAGATAGAATTCTTGTTTTGTTTTGTTGTTTTGATTTAACTTCTTTATTGACTCTTGGGGAGTTTCACATCATGCACTCCAATTCTGCTCACCTCCTGGTTCCCCCCATACTCCTCTCCTCTGCTACACCCCCCCAAAAGAAAACAAAACAAGTAAGCAAACAAAAGCAAACATACCGCCCCCCACAAAACAAAACAACATTAAAATCTCTTTGCTTCTCCTCCTTTCCTGCCTCTCCATCACCTCTTCATTTGTCCTGGAGGCACTGGGGCCTCGGTGTGTCACACAGTACACCCCTTTGTCCTATCAGCTTTACTAGCAAATGTTCATTGCGATGAGTCACTGGTCTGGTTCAAGGCCTCTGGTTTCTGGTGCACCATCCTCAATGGATCCTCATCAGAACTCCTCTGGGATATCCTGTGGCCACCCCAAGTCTTGGGGATGACTGGTCCACAGGACCAGTCCCTTCACATGCTCTAGCAGGTCCTAGATGGGGTAGATGCTAGGGTGGGTCAACCCAAGGCCTGGCTGTAGGCCTGGTGGTAGCCCAGCTATTCGGTCCAGGCCACTGTGGCCACCCATCTTGGGTAAGGGAGCAGAGGTAACTCCCCTACATGCATGCCTTCACCACAGGTGAGGGGTGGAGGCCATCTCTCTTGCTATAGTGTCCAGAGAGAGGCAATACCAGCTTTCCCAGGGCCAGTGAAGGATGGGACTGGCTCAGCATGGCCCTCTGATTTCATTTGCCATGATTCCTAAGGCCTCCTGAGGTGACACAGGCCACAGACATTAACACAGACCCCAGCTGCAGCTGGACCAGGGACCTAGGCATGGCCCTTGGCAGTATCTTGGGCCCAGAAGACATCCTGGCTCTGGGTGGAAGGAATGGCCACTCGGGTGGGAATGGTTCTGGCAGCTGTATGGCTGCCAGATACCACCAAGGCCTCAGATTATGACCCCAACTCTAGGCCTCTGTGTGACCTTTGGTGGCAATGCATGACCTGCACTTCAGCACAGACCCCAGTTACGATAGGACAATGGACCCCGACATGGTTCTCGTCAACAGCTGGGTCTGTATGCACCACCGCCCCAGTGTCAGTATGGCCCTCTATCTCTGGTGTCTGCACAGCCTTCGATGGTAACAGGGTCATTGGACATCAGCACAGACCCTGGCTGCAGTAGGGCCATGGACCCTGATATGGCCCTCAGCTGCAGCTCTGGCCTAGAGGTCATCACCATGACATTGCACAGGCCACTCAGATCTGGATGCATCCTGGTCCTCGGGCACCAACCTGGACTCAGACAGCTGATCTGACCCTGGGCATCCTCATGGCACTAGGTGGCAACAGGAGCCACATAGATCAATCCAGACCCTGGCTGCTATAGAGCCACAGACCCAGACATGGCCCTTAGCAGCGGCCTGGACCTGGATGACACCATGCGTGGCTTTGGGTGGCAGCACAGGCCTCCCATATCTGTATGGCCCTGCTGTGGCATGGCCCCCAGACTCCAAACAAGCTGCAGGTTCTAGCCCAGATCCCTGGCCTCTGTATGGGCCCCAGTGCCAACCTTGACCACAGACTTCAACACAGACCCCAGCTGCAGCTGAGTCACACACCCAAACATAGCCTCAGGCAGCGGCTCGGCCTGGTCAACATCCTAGCTCCAAGTGGTAGTCCAGGCCACTCAGATCAGGATGGTTCGGGCAGCGACATGGCCCATGGACACTAGCAAGGCCACAGGTTGAGGCCCAGAATTGTGGTTTTGAAGCATGAATGGAATTTTTCAAGTGTGACTCCTCAAACACTGGTCCCTCTGGGTTTTATCATACTGTCCTATCTGCAAGGTAGACTTTGTTCTGCATACCCTTTAGTTTCTGCAAGTGCTTTTATTATTTTGCCTTGGAGCATATTTATGTGTGTGCCTAGCGTGTGCATTGGGCATTGTCTTCTGTTCTGGGCCATCTGCAGTGGCAGCCCTCACCCTGTGCTTGCCCATGGACCAGGGTACAGGTAGGATGTGCAGTTCAGCTGCCATCACCTGCCACAGCTGCTGCCTGCCAAGATCGTAAGTGTGGCTCATGTGTGCCCCATGTATGTTTTCCTTAGAAAGCCCAACTAATCTTAGTAAGCAGACTCCTGGAGAAGAATATGAACAGAGAGCTCATGCAAGGCTGCACCTGTAAGGGTCAACTCGCACCCTCTCCATTCTGTGCAGCTGTCGTCTCACGGAGCCACAGGGAGCGCAGTGGATTCTCTTGTGGGTTTTTGTGGCAAGAAGTTGGTTTAATGTGAAAATCTAGGAGGGAGCAAAATCAAATATGTGCAGATTAAAACCTGGAGCTTTGTACTGAAGACTATTCTAGAAGAACTAAGTCCAACGCCAGGTTTTATTATTATTTTGTAATAACCAATTGCATCTAACAGGCGTCTTTTCTGAGAAGCTGGCTTTTATTATTTGGTAATTTAGAGTTGTTTTGGATGGTGCCTAAGGAACATAGGCGCAAACACACAGGTATGGTGAAGCACTGACCAACCTTGGAATTTGCTGGGATGTTTGCAGGGAATTGCCTGCTAACTCTGAATAGATTTTTTTATTTTTATTTTTGGAGCTTGTAGATGAATGTGGTGTCTGTGTGTGGTCATATGTGTGGGAGCACACGTACATGGTATCTGCCATTGCTCTCTGTCTTAGTCTTTGAAGCAATGTCTCACAGTTGAACCCAGTGTTCACCTATGAGGCTTGTCATTACGCTGTAGAGAGTTTGGGTCTGGTTAATTCTGGTGTGTGATGCTTTTATTTATTTGCAAGTTTTACGGTTTAATTAAAACACAGAGACAGACAGACAGGCAGGCAGACAATATGGCTATCGAGCTTGCTCTGGGATCCTCCTGGTTCAGCCTTCCAAGTACTTGAATTACTAATGGGTGCCACACCAACAGGGTGTTTATGTGGGTTTGGGGATCCAGACCCTAGTCCTTAGACTTGTGTGGCAAGTGCGTTATCTATTGAGTTGTTTCCCCAGCTCTCTAACTAGATCTTAAAAGAGCTAGGTGAGTATGGCTGTGATTGGCAGAGTCTGCAGTATTCTGTTCCCATTAGGCATAAACAGAATGCTTAATTTTTGTTGTGCCTAACTTACATTTGCATTCAATCCATGTTATTTCTAACTAACCTTCACTTCACCTGGTTTTAGGTGTTAAAAATGGACCAATGAAGCCTGAAACTTCAGACAGCTCTTGTACAGGCCTTGTCAGACCTCGACAGAAAGCAAAGAAATGTGACAAAGGACAAAAGGTCAGTAGATAGAAATAGAATTCCAAACCTTCCCATGCTCAGACATCATAATGATTACTCCATGCACCGTGTGTTTGTTTACGAAATTAATTACAGGTGAATGTGGGCAGTTTGGGTATAACACTGAGAGGTCTGAAGCCATCCAGGATGAAGTGTTGGCATCCACAAACCTCAATTCCTCATGTCACTTTACCACCACGTGCCTGGCCGTGAACAAGCCTCCTGCCACTCTCAGGCACAGTGGGGGCCAGTGTCTTGCTCTGTCCTAATTTGCAAAATATTCACTAGATAGGAGTAAAGCGCTCAGATGTCCTTCATTTGTGAATAAATCAAGGCCTAACATAAAACCCTAAGACCAATAGTCAAAAAGCTCATGGAGTATATGGTGGTGAACTTGAAGTCAGTATGGTAAGGCGAGACCTTGCTATAGGCCAGGAAGATGGCTGCAGAGGCTTGATTGCTTAGGCGTTGCTAGAAGTCCTGATGTAAATAGAGGTGTGGAGAGGACCATGGTCATGCTTTTGTCACTTTGTGGGTTTGAAGAACGATAGAAATTTCTTGCTATGTGATTTCTATTTCAGCTTCCCAGCACATTGAGATCGTTTATGTAGGGTGGGGATGGGAGTTTGTTTGGCATCTGGTATTGTTATGAGTCAACAAAAACACTGGGTTCAGTTTGTTGATACTGAAAGCTGACTGTAGGATTGTAGAATTAGATTGGTAAATTAAGTACAGCTTCCTCATTTGAATCATCTCCAGGTTAAGCTAGTATCTGTCATTTCCCCCTCCCCGCTCAGAAATGAAGAATTTTGCCTGCTTGTTTTGATCCTTAATAGATTTAAAGATAATCTCCGTTAAACTGAAATTTGAGACTTTGACAGGGCCTTGTTTTTCTGTACAGTGCAAACCAAAAGATTCCATTTTACTAAGCACGAAACTTGTTCCTGTTATCTTTGTGACATCCTGTGAGTGAGCCAGGGATGTCGCTCAGCAGTATGCCTGTCTGGGATGTGCAGGGCCCTGGGTTTGATCCCCAGAGCTGCAAAGAAATGAAAATCTTGTAATTGAGTGTTAATGTTGAAAAGAGGGTTTCGATGGGCGGTGGTGGCGCACACCTTTAATCCCAACACTTAGGAGGCAGAGGCAAATGGATCTCTGTGATTTTGAAGCCAGCCTAGTCTACAGAGGGAGATCCAGGGCAGCCAGAGCTGCACAGGGAAACCCTGTCTTGAAAAACCAGAAATGAAGGAAAGAAAAGGTGGTTTCATCTGCTAATTATTGTGGCACATGTAGACAGACAGTCCTGCTGGCCAGAGTACAAGGTTTTCATGTATGCTTCTGCTGTCGGGATGAACACAGCTAGATGTTTCTCTGGGCACTAATGATCTTCTGCCCCTAAAGCAGCAAGGGTCGGTATTGTCCCGTCCTAGCAGCCCTGCAGAGGCAGGCCAGTCAGAGTGGATAATGCTGAATCCTGTGTCACATGGAGATTTGAGGTGAAGGGTAAGGAGTCAGAGACTGGCAAGTGTGGACCCCAGAGATGCAGAACAGTCCTGGGGTTCCTGAGAAGACTCGAGGTCTAAGCATCAGGGGCAATGAGGTACCCTGTGACAGTTGTTCCGGAGTGCTGTGTTTATGGTGAGCCTCCTTGTTTGATCTTTGAGTCATTCTGGGAAACTACCAGCTGTTGCCACTTCCGCCCATTTTCTCAACTCTGTATTGCTGGCAGTACAGTGTTACCATGCGCTACCCTTTGCTTCTGGAGTTCATACCTTGTGATGTTTCTTTTGTCTTGGATCTGTTTGTAAGACAGGATTTCACTCTGTAGCCCTGGCTGGCCTGGAACTTGTTGTGTAGACCAGGCTAGCTTCAAATTCAGAGATGCTTGCCTCCTCCTGAGTGCTGACGTTAAAGACATACAAAGCCAAGCCTGGCTTCTCTTGTATCTTTGCTTATTTTTTTTTTAAATCAGTTTTGTTTCTATCTCCCCTTTTGTTCACTATAAGTCCATTGCAATGCTAAGTCTACAAACTGAAGTTCCTCACCACTCATTGCTCTCTTTGGTTCTTGTAGCTTTATTTGAATTTATTTTGTCATTTTCAGTTCTGGACCATGCATGCTCATTTCGAAGTCTGTCTCTGACACCTCTGCTTTCCCTTGTTTCTGTTTTCATTATCTGCACTTTCTCATAGTTTTTAGTCCTATATTCCACAGCAAGTAACATGTTGGTTTGGTGTCCAGTCAGGAGACGGGCTGGTTAAGAGCTGGGCCTCTGTTTTGGGGAGTCTGAATGTCCTAGGGAATGCAAACCTCAGATGCCATGTCAGCAGTTCGGGTCTTGCCACTGGCTGCCAGGGTAGTGATGTCACGGACATTGCTTGCCCGTTCCTAGCTTGTATAGTTTTCTGACTGATCCCAGTTTGTTGGTAGATTGACAGGACTCAGTCTATCACTACTGGAAACTATGAGTTAATTTTTATGGTCTTTTTAAGAAAGAAGACTTAAAATGATGGGTATTAAGTATATGTGTGTGTATATATATGTATATGTGTATATATGTGTGTACATATTTATACATACTTTTAAAAGGATGTATATATTTTAAAGGATGTGTGTGTGTGTGTGTGTGTGTGTGTGTGTGTGTGTGTGTGTGTATATCCTTTTATCGATTGGTTGGTGGGGGATTGTAGGGTATGAAAATATGTATATATGTGTACACTTGCATATGGAAGACAAAGTGAACATTGTTCCACACTTTATTTCTTGAGACGGGAACTGAACCTGGAACTCACTGAACCTGGAACTCACTGATTGGCTAGACTGGCTAACCATCAAACTTCAGGGATACACCTGTCTCCATCTCCCCTCGACCCTGCCCCCAACCTGACTTTTTCCATGAATGCTGGGGATTTGAACTCTGAGCCTCATGCCTGTACTGAAAGTGTTTCACCCTACCCCACCCACCCCCAGCATCTCTACAGTTCCCTATATGCATCCCTTTGTAAAAAAAGTAAGGAAAGATTAAGTCAGAAGAATTTTTGAAACAGTTGTTCAAGAAAAATACATTAAACATCTAAGTGATTGTTCTGGTTAGTTGTTTTATCAACTTGACACAAGCTAGAGTTATCTGGGAAGAGGAACCTCAACAGAGAAAATACCTCCATCAGATGGCTTGTAGGCAAGTCTGTAATGCATTTTCTTGATTCATGATCAATATGGGACAGCCCATCCACTGGGGGCATTACCACCCAAGTAGTCCTGAGTTGTATAAGAAAGCAGCCTGAGCAAGCCATGAGGTACAAGCCAGTAAGCAGCACCCTCCATGGCCTCTGCAGCAGCTCCTGCCTCCAGATTCCTGCCTTGACTTTGCTCAGTGATGGACTTAAAAGCCGTAAGGTGGAATAAACCCTCTCCTCCCCAGGTTGCTTTTTGTTATGGTGTGTACCACAGCAATAGACACCTTAAAACAGTGCTCTTACCTGAGTTTCTCTTTAGCGGGAACAAATACAATTCAACAAAGAGTTTATAGTCTCAAATTTATAGCTTCCATTAGAATGTTTCTGATTAGACACCCACTTTCAATAGGAAAAGTATGTTTACAAATCAGTCTAGAATCAGTCTCTTTTAGATTGACAATTTTAAATACTTGTAAATTTTCCTCTTTTTATGCTGAGGACTTGGTTAAGCAGTTTATCAGCTCTCCTCTCTTAGTTTATAGTATGTTTAGTTGTAGGCAATGATAAAGTTATGCATCATTCCAGGGAGGGAGGAATATGAACTACTCAGGCAAATTGACCATTGAGGATTGTTGAGCATAGAACCGGAGGAAGCTAAATGCGGGCTTCATGCTTGAACTCCGGAAAAGTACATGAACTCTGTTCCTCCACGGTTTTTCATTTGTTCTGTTACTTCTGGGCTTGTTGTTGTCCGAAAGATTATTATCCTCAACAAAAATTTAACCTGAATCATCAACTGCATAGCTCTTGGTCAGTGGCTGAGTTTTTAAAATCTCATTTTGGGGCTATGCCTGCCAATCCAGGTTGTTCCACAGGAAGACAAGCTGTGGGTCAGAGCACAGAGGGTTTGCAGATGGCTTTCGGAGATGCAAAGCCTTGGGGAGAAACAGAGGACCAATGTACTGCACCTATTTTGACAAGGTTTTTGTTGTTGTTTCAAAAGAAACCATACACCAGATAGAATGCTTACATTTCTATTAGCATTTTTAAAAGATTTTGCATTATTATTATTATTATTATTATTATTATTATTTGTGTGTGTATGCACATGTGTGCTGCAGCTTACATATGGACGTTAGAGGACATCTGCAGGACTTCCTTCTACTGTGTGGGTTGTCAGACTGCACAGCAAGTCTTTTTACCACCTCAGACATCTTCCTGGCCCGGAATACTCACATCCTTAAAAGCCGTGTACATGAGCGAAGAAACAAATAGCTTGCATGTATTTTAATAATTGCTGTTCTCCCAACTTTATTACGCTGTGAGTCTATAGGGGCATGCTCTGTGATGTCTTGCAGTACTCTGCGTGATACAGCACTCCATGGGATAAGGGATGTAGTGATGTCCCTCGTGTGTGTGTGTGTGTGTGTGTGTGTGTGTGTGTGTGTGTGTGTGTGTGAATATTTACATGTGTATGAGTACACATGTGTGAGTATGCATGCATATGGAGGCCTGAGGTAGGAACTGGGAGCCTCCCTTGGTTGCTCTCCCCCTTACTCATTAACTCAGGTCTCTCAGTTGAAACCAGAACTGGCCAATATAACCAATCTGGGTAGCCAGCTTCCTCCAGGGATCCCCTGTGTCTACCGTCCGAGCACTGGGATCGTAGATTGGCTACCGCACGCACCCCGTAGGTTTGTAGAGCTAAACCTCAGCTCTCACGCTTGCACACAGTGCTGTACCCACTGAGCCATCTCCCAAGCCCTCCCTTGTACGCTTTCATTTGTTTTATGTGTGTGGATGTCTTGCCTTTATGTGTGTCTG